TTTTCGACCAAGCATCGATCTTGTCCGGCATTAAAACATCGTTTCGCTCCACTATCAACGTTTTAATTAGATCCGCGAAAAAGTGCGTATGATTGGTCGAGGAACGATTAAACCGGAACTCGACGAGTCCCGATCTTTTGTTGTTCCGATTGATAAATCGAGGCACGAGCGTGGCTGGAATTGCGTTAACCGGCGCCGTTGGAAATTGCTTTCGTCTAATTCGTAACGCTGTGAGATTGCCGAGACACGATTTTTCGTGTTCGAGAACGCGTGACATCTCTCTTCCTCTCTTTCGCTTTGCTGTCTTCTCCCTTTCTCCCTTTCCCTCTCTCTCTCTCTCTCTCTCTCTCTCTCTCTCTCTCTCGGTATCTCTCTCTCTCGGTATCTCTTTGCATCTCTTGTTGCCGTAACGCCTATATAGCTCGATTTAATCCATATTTACAATCGTCACAACTTGCAATCCGGGTAAAGGTAACTTTTTTCGATTCATTGGACTTCGAATCCTCGAGCCGGTTATTGTGCAGTTCGACGCTGAAATTGTTAGCTAAGTCGGATAATACGATCCTCTGTTTTTAAATTGCGTTTTCATCGTGCGAAATATATACTGACTCGAAAGAGTAGTTCATCTCGTTCTAATTTTGGTCGCACGTGGTAATTTTTTGTATCTCGTTAGAACGAAATCGGCATTTCGAAATAAACTTTCTCCATTGTTTCTTTCGAGAATCGATCGAACTCCGTTTATCCGAATCGATTTATAGAAATCAAACGTTCAATTATCCAATTCGTATTGTTGTACAATGAATTAGAATAAAAAAAAAAAAAAAAATACGCACAAAGTACAAAAATTCAAATTTGATTAAAATTTCCGCAATTAGTACAAACCCAATTCTTAGTGAAATATTCGTTCGCAACATTTTCTTGCATCACCTTTCCATAATTCCAATTTCTAAACACAAATTATCATTCTCTGGAACCGATTCGAATAAACAACTAGTTCTCTCGACTCCGCCTTCCCTCATTCGAGCATCTTCTTCACCTTCGCAGAAACCTTGCCCGTCCAATTCTCCGTCCAAAAATTGGTCGATCAGCGATTGGTTCTCCTCCTCGGTTGAGGAAAACTAGTAAGCGGTCGCCTGGTGATGCATCAACGGGTTGAAGTGGTGCGGGCCGAGGTGATGGGGAGGCGGTGGACCCGGCAAGGGGCTGTGCTGGGGACCGACCGTTGGCGGCTGACAGACGTACCACTCCGTCAACTCTGGGCCCCTAGTCGAAGGATGGCTCGACGGTGGGTTGGTCGCGGTCGTCGTCGGGACGACCGGAGGCGGCTGCGGCGACTCGGTATGCCCGGTTACGGACAAGCTACCCCCGCTGCTGCTGCTCTCTTCACCCTCACTCTCGTAGCCTCCTCCTATCTTGCCCTCGCCAAGGGTCATGCCGTGCACCTGGAACCAGGAGGCGGGGCTTAACGTTAGACTCTCGCGGGAAATTTCGAGTAAGGTTTGGGTTGGGGCCGCGCTAGCTTGGTTGGTTAGTTGGTCAGGATTTGCCAGGGTTGGATGTAACGCCGGGGAGAAAGAGGGAAACGAGAAAAGGGGAAGCAAGAAGGATCGATCGAGGAGGAGACGAGTTTTCATTGGGGTGTAATCTGATCAATCTGATAATCCGATAATTGGTCTTCGAACAAAGCAAGTGAATGAACTCGAGCAAGATTTTATGTGGAATATGGAAAGAGTTGGAGATTGAAAGGTTCTGTCTCGATCGTGGTAAGAGTTATCGAAGACGTGAAGGGAGCAAAAGGAGCACGCGTCGGTTAAACCGAAGAAACTGGGATCAGAGAGATCGGAGGATCAAGGTTTACCCATCTATCCGGCTCTGTCTCTCTTTCTCTCTCTCTCTCTCTCTCTCTCCTCTCTCTCTCCTTCTGGTCCTTCGTTCATAATTCAGTGAGCAAATCTCGACGACTGCCTTCCGCGAATCACGGCCGGCGAAAAGCGTGGAGAAGCGAAAGGCGCTCGCTCCTATCCGACGAACCTATCGCGCACGTATCTCGGGAGTTGCCTTTTGGACGGTTCTGCTTCTCTTTCCGTCTTCCCTTCCCCCGTGTGCGCCACGGATAATTTCCTATTAAGATTCCGTAGCCGTTCGTGCATGAACCTTTGGATACCCGGCAGCCACTCTTCCCACAACCGTTTCTTTTTTTCTTTCTTTCTTTTTTTTTTTTTTTTTGT